TGTGTGTGTGTGTGTGTGTGTGTGTGTGTGTGCTCCTCCTGTCCTATTTGCATTATGAATGACAGTGCAGGGAGCCGCCGCCTCTGACCACACGTGGAAAAAAGGACCTACAGCAGTCAGTCCTGGCAGCGGTACTGAGCAGCTTTATTCACCCGCTTTCCAAGCGCCGTGGGGCTGGTTTTTTTTCTTCTTCTTCTCTCTCTCTTCCTTTTCAAGGGAGCACACGATTTACTCGGGGTGGGGAGGGGGTGCCGAGGAGTGGGTAGGTGGGGGGGCTCTGCTTTTCAGCAGGCCGAGCGAGCCCTCATTACCCAGGACCTCTCTCATTAGGCCCAGCGGCGCATGGAGCGTATGGAAAATGCGGGTATTTGTCACCCGGGGAATCGACCCCCGCCCCCCGGCCCCCGGCCACTCCTGTATGGACTGTTCATCCGGCCCTTTGAACTGAGCGTGCCTGGCCCCCGCGCCTCGCTAATTAAACATGCCACCCCCCCCCCCTTCTAAGGAGCATAGGTGGCCCAGGTATATCAGTGGGGGCAAAAAAAACACTGCTGGCCGTCTGCGCATACGGCGTTACGCAGACGCCGTTACGCAGAAGGAGTTGGTATCGGGCCGCATGCTGCCTGTGATGGCCATTTTGATGAATGATCGTAATTAATTGCTCCTTTTCATCGCCTTTGCAGAAGCTCCTGATTAAGTAATTTGCCATCAGGAAGGCGTGATGGATGCTGCTTAAAAACAGCCTTCGTTTTGGGATGCATTGATAATTTGGAGTCCGGCTGGGCGTATCTTTGAGCATCTCACAGAAATTTCTTGTGTCCCCATTTGCCGGCACCCAGATCTCCCGTGTCTTAACCCCCCCCCCCCTTCCCCCTTTGTTTTCCATCCTTCAGAGTTCAGTTTCGCGATGCGTCCACCATCCATGATCGCCACAGGCAGCGTGGGAGCAGCCATCTGCGGCCTCCAGCTGGACGACGCCGAGCGGTCACTGTGGGGTGACAACCTGCCGGAGCTGCTGGCCAGAATCACCAACACGGACGTGGTGAGTGGGGCGCCGGGGCGGGGGGGCGCCCGGGGCGGGGGGGCGCCCAGGCGGGAGGGCGGGGGCAATTATCTGCGTGCTTAGGGAAATGAAATGCGTTACGGGTTCAGAACAGTGGGGGGCGCCGTGGCGGTGGCTGACCTAGCGAGTGGTCATTAATCATCTTCTCCAAAGAAACATTCCCGCTCGGAACGCTCACGCTGATCTTAGGGGCCAGACTGCTCCCGAATACAAACAGCAGAGGATTTGCCAGCATATCACAAGCAGCGATTCATCCAGAAAAATAAATTTGGGGGAAAAGATTGCTAATAATTTATAATGAATAATATTCACACATTGACTGATATGATATGACTGACACAAGCCACATTTTCAAATATAACTTTACAATATAATTGAATTTTATTGAACATAATATGTTCAAATAGCATTTTCAGCTGACCAGTAGGGGATGCAATTGCAGGCCTGGTAAAATGACCTGTGATTGGTGGGATAGGTGACTGGGGTCATGCCAGGGTTAGGAACGGGACGGGACCCTTCTCGCGCTGGACAGATGCCAGTTAGAGAGTGACGCTCATAGTCGATGCTCTGGGAGCAGCCCAGTCTCTCAGCACCATCCCAGCGTCCCTCCCAGTCCCTCAGCACCATCCCAGGGTCCCTCCCAGTCTCTCAGCACCATCCCAGCGTCCCTCCCAGTCCCTCAGCACCATCCCAGCGTCCCTCCCAGCCCCTCAGCACCATTCCAGCATCCATCCCAGTCTCTCAGCACCATCCCAGCGTCCCTCCCAGCCCCCCAGCACCATCCCAGCGTCCCTCCCAGTCTCTCCGTTTCCACGGTCCCTCAAAAGCACATGTGCAGCCGGGCTTGGCATGCCGAGGTCAGGAGGCCCCTCTGCAGGACCCCCAAAAAGGCTTTTAAACGTTGTCCCGTGACGGGGGTCCATATGATCTCCATATGAGCTGGGATCAGCTCCCCCTGAATCAAGGCGGGACATGACGCCAGAATACAAGAGCGCTGGGGGAGGGGGCAGGAAGCCTGTGTGGCTGGCGGTGTTTGGGCCCAGTCCAAACACACTTGGGGGGCACAGCTGGGCACTGGGGGCCTGGCTTTCATCAGGGCACGGGCGCGCTAATGTGAGTGCGGCTCGCGCGGATGGAGCGACGGAGCCGCGGGCTGTCATCTCCGAGCGCCGGGGCTGAATTCCACCGCTGACCTGTGAGCGGCATGTGATCCAAGCTTTTAGAGTTTTCTGGGGTGGATGTGTGTCACCCACCCCCCCCCCCCCCCATCTGAGACTCTGTTGCCCCTGCTACTTCACATTCTCTCCTCTAGAGGGAGCCAAGAGTAAGGCAAGAAGCCATACAACGGTCCATACGTATGAGAATAGACAGTCAGCCTTCAGCACTACCCCCCCCACCCCAGACTCCCACTCCTCCCTCAGCTCAGCGAATAAGAACCAGAACCTCACTCCCAGTGCTAGATATTGTACTGCATCTGATCTGAACCACTAGTTGTGTGTGAATCGGTAGGTTGTGCCCTTGAACAAGGCACTTGTCCCAAATGCTCCAGGGACTGACAGACTCCGATTTCATTTATACATCACTTTGGATGAAAGTTCCAGCTAAATACCACCGTATTCCTGGTCGCCAGTTCTCAAATAGCAAGGAAAGCATCCCCAGGTTCTGCCTTAGTTTTACCTCTATGGTTTTATCTGTTTGAGGGCATTTCATAGTGTGGTTCTCTGGCGCCCCCTGCAGGATCCCAGTGGGAATGAGGACACAGCACACTTGAATGTGTTTTTGCGTTAAACCTCATACAGTAGCTAACCAGCATCCTCACATGCTCTTCTCTTTATCTGTTCTTTCAGTGCTGTTCTTACCCCGCCCCTCCCAACTGTAATTCATGCACTGTGATATCTTAGAATTAGCACTTTGGGCAGAGGGGGGTGGGGGGGGGG